TTAGAGCTGCAAACAAGCAGCCACGAAATGATTCTAACTGTGCATATTGGAAACTTCTGCAGTGGTAAGATAAGCCTATTTGGTTACCTTATACCATTCTAGTTATTCACAGGGATTTTTCCTCCTCATACCTTCTGAACCATTGGGTTGAAACCCAGATTCCTCATTTGTGTCCATGGTAACTGATGCATACTTGTTTACATTTTGACACTGATTAATGTACGTGTACCCTGATTGATCTCAATGATGACTTTCCCTGCCGAGGCTTGCTACTTGGTTCAATAGAATGAATCTCCTTTAGGTCTCTGAACTAAATATAGTGCTTTCTTGTAAAAATTAGGTTAATTACTTGGCATGTTACTTAACTTACATTTAATGCTCCAGATCATTAGAGTTTTCTCTCTTTGTTTGACAAAATAAAACTTCTGTAGCATAAATGGCTCTGAAATGCTCCTCTAAATCTACATTGCTAATTTTAAAATAGATTTTATAGTCATTACAGTTTAGAGGTTGAAGGTGGTTGTGTTTAAAACTGGAAATTATGTCAAGTCAACATATTTTGTATTGGTTGCACGTCTAAATTATGCAATTATAATATATTCTTTTGTACAACATGGTCAACATGAGAATGTATTGACTACAAAAAAAGGGTCAAATCAATGGACATCCCTTTGTACGTATATGATTTATGTTGAGTATTTGATGCATAATATTTATTCAGAGACCCAAACTGAGCAAACATATGCAATTTGTTGCATTTGCTGATTTTATATGGCCAAATAGTAAGTTTTACTGACTTTTTGGCCATATAATGCAATACAATGACGATTAAGGAATGTACAAATAAATGGTATTTTGTATCATATTTGATACTCACATTTTTACATGTTTTTATTTTCTAAAAAATGATGTATGGATAATCAAGTAAACCTAAGTTGCTTTAGTCCAGTAAGTGTTCAAAGTGAAAAAAGTATGAACTATCATTTAAATGACAGAAGACATCTGGTAGATTGTGTACAGCAAGTTTCTCAGCATGTTCATAATTTAGAATCCTTTAATGGCTTAATATTTCCCCTGCATATGAATGACTGTCCCATTGTAAGCAGTTATTTATAAAAAATGTAATTAATAGGGTCTTTTCTTGCTCTCACAAAACCTAATGTGTTCATTGTGCTCACACCTGATATCCGCTTAAACAAACACAGTAGCAGATTGATGGTGTTGATTCATAGGTGAAATAGGAGGACGATAATTCATAGTCATGACATTTCGGCAAAACATTGTTTAACCAAAATATGTTGGCATTTTATTATAGTACAAGTAATATAATTAGTCCAATGAAGTGTCAGGTACCGCACAGGGAGCTGTGTGAGATGAACACTGACCTTTTACAGCAGAACAGAAATGGGAAGAGCAGAGAATGGAGAACTCCCTTCATATCTAATGGTTTCATGTTTTAATGAAGCATCTAATTAACTCTTAGAGTCCTTATAAAGACCTGCTGGAGAAATGTTGCAGTAATAGATATGTAACAACATTATGCATTATTATGACAAAATTGCCATGTCCATTGAGCTTTATTGTGGTAACCTTATCAAAACATGAGGTAGCATTATGATTATAGACCAGACTGCCTTGACTGTGGTTCAAACAACAGAATTACACTTAAATATAGTTATGATATATAATCTACCAGGCCATTAAATCTGTTTTGTTACAGAGAACTGTTTCATGAATAATGGGGGGATATAAACACTACCATTCAAAATGTTTTTTGAAAGAAGTCTCTTATGATCACAAAGGCTGCACTTTTATTATAATCAATACTGAAAAAAAGTAAGGCTGCTAAAAAAAATGTCTTCATATTCATGTCTCTGGAGGCCTGCAAGCGCTTGATATTATATAATATCAGCCACAAGGTGGCGCCCCATGATTAGAATAAAGTTCCTCCTGCTCTTATGCTAGCAACTCAGTATTGCTCAATTGAATGGAGACCAGATTAAATGGGTCTTTCTAGGTTACTAGGCAGTAATTTGCTCCTTTACCTTCCTTCAATAAGCAGATATCTCTAACAATATTCAGAAAGCTTCTAAAGTAATCAGATAACATATTAGCTATTCACACAAAGTGTGCATTAAACTGACTAGCAGGCAGCAGGAATGAATCAACAACAATAAATAAAAACTCTCACAATTTCTCATCTCAATGTGATAGTGTGAGCAGTTGTTTAATACGAACAGCTGCTTTGCATGTCCAGTCAGATATTTTTAGGAGTGACGAGCACAGAGGAAACTAGCACACAAGATCCCAAAAGGCAAAAGGACAACAGCTCAAGCTATAAATTCACACATAAGACTGTAATGACACACTGTTGATGATCAGGAAGGACAAAGCATGCTTGTTTACTCCTAAAATTCTAATCCTGATGTCTTTACTTTTCTAAAAGCTTTTTCATTTTTACACAACAGATTGATCACATGGCTCTTATAATGAAGCCTGCATGGATAGTTGTGCTTTATGTGGTAATGGCAGCCAGACTAGATGTCTCTCAGGAGGAGGACACAGAGCTGGCTGAGCAGGACGGCAGGGAACATTGTGCCACTTGGATGAAGGGTATTCCTGGCACCCCAGATTTTGATGGCATCCCCGGGCGGGATGGACGTGATGGGCGTGCGGGACAAAAGGGAGACATCAGAGGGCCAGGTGATTCATTTACAGACTCCTAATGGTATTAAGTGCGCATGAAAAGTATTTGGCCACTTAAACCACACTTTAATATTTAATATTAATATCTAAATGAACCCTTATTGGATTCAGTACAGTTGATCAGAATTCACATATGATAAACAACAAAAAATCAGCTAAAAACAATAAATACATAAGAGCGGCTGCCAAATGCATAAGTGCAAATTCACTCATAATTAACGCATAATTTAAAAATGGATATAAAATGCATCATAAAATGTTTCTATTTGACCTGCAAATATTGTAATTGTAGAAATTGTAAAAATGGGTGACTCTTTATTTTAAGGTGTCTTTGTTACAGTGTAATTATACATTTAAGTACTGAGCGATATTAATTAACTACATGTACTTACTATATGGTTAGGGTTAGGATTAGGGTTACTTGCATATAATTGTGCATAATTAATTGTTATTATAATAGTAAGTACATGTAACATGTGTAACAAGGACACCTTAAATTAAAGTGTTACCTAAAAATGTTGTCCACACGTGTCGGCACATTTGCAGGCTTGTTCGTGACCCTACATTTTCAAGAAAAACGTCTCCAGTATTTCCGACAACTAAAAAACAAAATTAGTCCATTTGACCCACAACCTAAACTGAAGAAACATTCTCTAAACAACCTTTACTTCAGTGAATATAGATTGATGGATTCTTCTCAGTTAGCAAAACAAAAAGGTTTGTCTGCAAAAATCTTAATCAATTCAGTTGTCTTTGTCAAGGCCCCAAAGGACCGAATGGAGAGCCAGGTGAACCAGGGGACATGGGACCTGCAGGAAAAAAGAGGATTTCCTGGAAACCCCAATCTGAAAGGAGAAAGAGGAGAGGGTTCCTTCCCTTACCACTCTGCTTTTAGCATGGGACTCACAAGTAAAACCAGCCTGGCTAGTGGGGCCCATCCGCTTCACTAAAACCTTCTACAATGAGCAGCACCACTACGACGACATATCCGGAAAGTTTCGCTGTGCCATCCCTGGGATCTACTACTTTACCTATCATCTTACCATCAATGGGAAGGACATCAAGGTAGCTATGTATAAAAATGGCCGGACTGTGGCCTTCACTCTTGACCAGTTCCACAACGGAAACCTGGATCAGGCATCTGGAGGGGTGATTTTAAATCTGTCTGCTGGAGATGAGGTTTAGCTACAGTTGTATGATGACATATTTGATGCAGGGATTTATGCAGATACAAACAACGACTCCACCTTCACTGGCTTCCTTTTGACTCCTAAAATCATAAGCAACCCAATTGACAACCGCAGACGCTGACACTGTCTATGTGGATGTATTTGTATCCACATGTTCACTTAATCGGAACAATCAGTCAGTTTAATGCAGCATGAAGAGATTATTTGCAGTGTGTGTGTTTGATATTGTCATAAGTCCTGTCATTTTTAGATTTATAGGCCAGATATTTTCACAGTGAGTCTGCCTGCCCACCCGCTAAACATGTCACATCTAGCCAACTGGCTTCCTCTCAGTACAGCAGTTGGTGTGCAGTTTAGCATACTTCATCCTCGCAGATATTTTAATCAGTGTTCAAGGTCAGTATATACCACCATACGTGCTGAGCTATTACCTTATAGTTATATTTTATTTAGATTTGCGGCTTGTGATCTTGCAGCAGCTCTTTAATCGCCATTTGTATGCCATAGTTTTTAATTAACCAAAATAACATGACAGCTGTTGAGTATTTATATTTATTAATGTTTATTAAAATTATTCTGAGGCTAATGGAGGTATATGTGTAGATTTTGAAGATCTTCTTCATTGCGGAGAGTTTTAACATCTCTCTAATCTCTCACATTAGTGACACAGAGAATGTTCAAAATGTTAAAGTTCACCAACTGTGAAAGCAGTACATGATGGGTGCTTGTCATTAAATATGGATTTTTATGCTACTTTGGTGCAGATTATTGTATTATCACTGACTATTTGCGTGTTAGTAAGTTGAACAGTGAGATAATTAATCAGTTTTTAGTATTGCATTGCTCTGTGAATGACAGTAGGATGGAATAATAATTATGGCATAATAATTCACTTGTCTGTGATAGTCCAATAAAATATGGGCAACAACAATTTCTACCAGCAGTTGTCAATAGTAATAATGCATTTGCAAATAAAAAGAGCTCAAGATCTTTAAAGCTTTTATTTGAAACATTCAAAGAAAAACATCTTACAAATATGCAAACAAATCACAAAGCATCAATTTGGCGATTTAAAAAAGAATACAAATAAGCAAGGGTCCCAGAAGATCATTAAATATAAATTTGAAGGGAAACTGTTGGGTGAACTTACAAAGAAAAAGCCAAAATGGGAGAGGTTACAGTATATTCAAGTACACTATTCACCTTTTACATACTTTGTTCTGTTTAATTTTCCCTCCACAAATGATACGAAGAGCTATTTCAAGTGCTCCTCTAGTAGAATATCTCTCCTAGAGATGCTGCAACACACAATCAGATTACATGGGTTAAAAGAATCAGAAAGAAATCATAAGAATCTAATATTTTTTTCCTATACAAGTGCTGTCAAACTCCAGAGCTAGGAAATTTCAGCAGCTCTCGAAAAATATTTTGAGCGAACCAAGTCAAATCATGTGAAACTGATGTGTACACCTTTTCTACAAGTGTGCCTTTAATATTTATCTACAAAATAAAAAAACTTCTGTCCTGACCTACTATTCTTGGCATACATTGTCACAGGTATTTATTTATTTCTGTAGTCTCCATTGTAAGCATGGTGGTCATCCTGGCCAGGATACCGACCACCGTATCCTCTCAGGACATCCTGAAAACTAGTCGCTCCTGGTTCCTGGGGGCCGAATCCGGCATATGGATCCTCTTGTCCGCTCACGTAGGGCTCGTATTGCTGCTGGTTGTAGCCTGGGGCCTCAGGGTAGAACTCTTCTCTATGCTGAGGGACCTCCTCATGGTGGGATTCCTCCTGGGCTGGCTCCTCTTGAGGTGATGGGCTGGCGGGTTCAGCCAACTCAGGTTCGTAGCGGCGCAAACGGCAGTTTCTGTCATACTCCGGGTCGCAGTCAGGATCAGGTTCGATTACTCCATTTCTGGATCCATCAGCATTCAGGTGGGGCTCATAGGCTTCAATTGGGTAAGACGGCTGCCTGTGCACAGCAGGACGGTGCTCGTTTTGGGAACCCAGTGGGAAGCACTCTTCATCATACCCGATGAAACAGTCATATCCCTCCTTGGTCTTCCCGCGGGGTCCCAAAGGATGTTGAGGTTCCTCCAGTTGCCTTGGAGGCTGGAGTTGTGTAGGCAGGTGTCTTCGCAGGTCAGCCCCAGCAGATGCATCTCGGTACATGGCATAAGGGTCTTGATGAGGGCTCGGAGGTGCCCGCATGGCACTGACTGCAGAGGCGGGCTCGTCCTTCAGATCTTCAGGAGCCAAGCTGCCGAACCTTGTGGCTGTCAGAGGGTTGCAGTTATCATTGTAGAGAGGGTTGCAAGGTCTCTCCAAGCCAGAAGATGGGGCTTCAAGATTTTGTGAGGATGCCAGAGCAGCAGCATAAGCACAATATGGGTCAACTCGAGGGTCACAATGGGGATAACGCAGGTACAGACCAGATGGCGCCTTCTGGACCAGATGGGGGTTGCAGTGAGGATCGGTCTTAGGGTCACAGCCGAGATGGGCGTAGGATGGGGCCGGGGCAACAGCAGGCTTGTATCCGTAAGCAGCACGGAGGTGGTACTGAAGACACTCGACATCCTCTGCGTCACAGATGCGCAACAGCTCAGCCCTTTGCTCAGCTGACAGGAAGGGTTGCACCAACGGAGAGTGGTAGTAGTAACCAGAACGTGGATCTTTCACCACAGGGGTGTGGATGTAGGCTGGGGCAGGTGCAGGGGCTTTGACAGCAGCTGGGGCCGGAGTCATGTATGGGTAATATGAGTATCCCTTCGAGTACAAGCAGTATGGGTCTCTGTAAGGATCACAAGACTTGACTGGGCCAGGCACTGGTGCTTCAGCTTTGGGTTTGGGTCTGTTGGTGTACGAGGCCACACAGTTTGGGTCATCAGACTCGGCACAAGATTTGTAGATGTCGCTTAGGTGCTGCAGGTACAGCTTGTGGGAACGACGTGCCTCAGCCCCATTCTTGTTCTGCAAGTATGCAAGATAGACGCGATCCAGCTCTGCAACCTGAAAGGTGACGATAAATGATTTTGATTCAGTACTTAGATTATGCAACCAACACAAAACACATAAGTAACCTCAATCATCCTCAAGATGATAACAAGGGATTTCCTGGTATTAAAATTCTGGGCCAATGTGTTACTGATATATTGTGCATAAGGTTAAGATTAACCTTTGCAAAAACTAACAATTCTTATAGGACCTGCAGGTGTGCTATGTTGTCCTGTTTAGTTCATAATATATGCTGTACTCACTCCCTCTTGGTTCCCATTGTCAGTGAAGTATTTGTACCAGCTCCAGAAGTCAGAGTGCTGCTTGTACCAACTGATGTTTCTCCTGTTGCGGATTAGTTTTGGAGCTGCTTCAACGCCTGCCTTTTCATCACTTCCATCTGGCAGAAACACTATGTGTTACTTCATTGTGCATATCTAACATTCAGATTATATGGTATCTATACAACAGATAAATGAATTAGGACTCTATAAAGAAGCTAACAGAACAGGAGAACAAGCCATACTTACTGTCTCCTTTTAAACGTCGGGTCACAGGGCCAGCCAAGAGAAAATCTGTTTGAGAAGAAGAGTAGAGAGAGAAAAAATGAGGGGGTTCAAGTCTCAACCAGATGATGCATTTTGTCAAAGATAGAGTAGAAAATGCTTACAGACAGTAAAGGTCCAATGAGCTGAGGGCAGCAGGATGCAGTTTTACAAGTTTTGGGGGGAAGGGAAGGTGGTAATATATAGAGGGTATTGTAGGAAATTAATCTTCAAACAGCACACATCAGCACTTTGATGCCTGGCAGCAGGGGGCCTCAATAACCGGGCTCGTCTACAAGCAAAAGCTATAAAATCTACAAAGGAAAGGAGCCTTTGTAACTACAGGTGAACTTAATTATCCTAGTGTCTGAAAAATATATGAACTGACACTTTTTCCATCTTATCTCTCTGAAGGTGACGTTTGTAGAGGCTGGAATGGGAACGAGTGGATCATGGATGGCTTTAATGTGAGGTGACTGAACGGAAGATCTCAGTGTCTTGTATGAGGGAGGTAAAGAAAACGTTGCTCTTTCAGAGTATCTGCAAGTTTATTTTTTATGAGCTTGTAAACTGCTGCCACATCTGGAAACCTGGTGCACTTGAGTTTTGCTGACAACCGTTAATAATTTTACCAGCTGCAGAGCAAAACGCGAAGACCTGGCACTCAGAAACTTGATACCCCGTTGTTTGCTACAGGGCTTTTGGGGAAATTTCACTCCGAAGAAAAGAAAAAGAATAATTTACAAGTCTCACCTGGTAATAATAATGTTGCTAGCAGCAACACATGCAAGACGGAAGATCCTCTCAAACAAGCCATTCTTAACCTTCCTGATTCCTTTGGATAAACAAAATTATTTACAGAATTTAAATATGTATTTTCATATTCATACTTTAACATGATGAACCTCTATCAAGATGAGATGAGAATCATTATAAGAGAGTGTACTGTTGCTCCTTTATATTTGATCATCTAAATTTTGCGATATTTGAACTGATATTTGACAATTCTGAGAGGAAGAATTGATCGAATTAGAAAAAACTAATTGAACTGCAAATAGTACTTCAATTTTACATATAGACTGTAAAAAAAAATCTGTGACATTTACGGTAAATACCGGCAGCTGTGGTTGCCAGAACTTCACTGTAAAAAATATGGTAGCATCATTTTAGGTTTTACAGACTTTACTTAAATTCAAAATAAAATACCGTATTTCATTAACTGATGTAATGTTAATAAACCAACACATTGAAATACTAATATCTGTTTTGAACCATTGTAATGTACTGATAGCCACCAAAAACTGGTGGTGATGATAAAGTCACATGATGAACCAAAGCTCATCATAAACAGCTTTTCTACGAGCTGAGGAGGGCAATACTTATATATAGAAGGTGCATAGTGTCATTCACACTAACACTAAACCCCATCATGGTGACACACATGATAGTGAAATAATGCAATAAACATTAATTTAACAACATTAGATGTAAGATTAAACCCTTATGTACACAACTGATAAGAAAAAACTAAGAAACATATTATTTCAACAAAAAAACATCAACTATGAAGTGTCATGCAGGGAATTCTGGAAGTGTCAATTTACAGTTTTTCACTGTAAATTATACAATGACTTTTTCTTTTTCACTTCCAAAAACCGTATTTTTAACAGCATTTTACTGTAAAATTACATTAAATGTAATTACATTTATTCACCGAATATATTATGGAAACTTACTGTTAACCAATTAACAGGTTTTTACTGTAGCATTTTTACAGTCTTTTACTGTTAAAATCACAATAATTTTTACAGTGCAGAATTGACAAGAAACTTCACTCTATGTTGGATTACCTGCAGATTATTGGTTTTTACATGCTACAAATGCCTGTATACAAAGACACATATAATTCACACATTCAACATGTAATTTTATGCTCTTTACGCTGTCTTACAATATTCGTGTCAATGTCAGTATTTTGCTTGTGCAGCTTTCAACTTTTTCAAACACAGAGTTTGAAATATTTTCTTAAATATAGAACAATTTAAAAATAATCTTACGATCATTTAACTGTGCAAAAAAGATGTTTAAGAACATAGTAACATATGGGGCACATCTGCATATTGTTAAAATTAACTATATGGGTTTTTGAAATGTAGACGTGCATTTGCTTTATAATCAGACAAATTAAAGGACATACAAAAGGGTTTGAGCTCTGTCTTACCTGTGTTAGGATGTGATGATGTGAAGTTGAAGTTCAGCTCTACAGCTGACCGACTGGAAGAGGAAGGTGAGTCAAACCCCTCGTGTACTACAGTCTCAACACACCCCTGTACACCAACTGGGCCACCGTTGAGAACCTGGCCACAATTTAAACCCAACCTTGATAATTAAAAACAAAAAAGGTGCATCCCATAAGGCCGAATACATGCTGCTTCCAACCCTACGATTGGCCCTCTCTGGCCTAGCAAGTCAGCCAATCAGATGTTGCAATTATAGACTGTGTTTAGAAGGTAAAGACAAAAAACAGGATATGAACATTTCAGTTTTTACAGTTGCTTTAGTGAGAAAATTTAAAATATAATTGAGGAACAAAAACATAAAATAAAATAACTATAATGATAATGTCACCTGTAATGATTCAGAGTGTTTTGTGGATTTTTATATCTAAACTAGTTCCCTTCAAAATAGAGAATGCGATAAAATGTATATCTCAGGTGTATTTAATAAGTTTAGTGTTGTAGCTTTCAGTTACTAAATAAGTGTTTGTTTTTGTTTGATTGTTTTTGCTTTATGAGCAGCCATATAAACAAAAAAGGTTTTTCGGATATGTTTTTAAAGGTATCGTTCACCCAAAAATGAAAATTTCACAGGCCATCCAAAATGTAGATGAGTTTGTTTCTTCAGATTTAAAGACTTGTAATGATTTAGCATTACATCACTTGCTCACCAATGAATCCTCTGCAGTGAATGGCTGCCGTCAGAATGAGAGTCCAAACAGCTGATAAAAGCATCACAATAACTGTCACAACTCCAGCCCATCAATGTCTTGTGAAGTCAAAAGCTGCACATTTGTAAGAAACAAATTCATTAAGACATTTTAATTTAGGTGTATCAATTATTGTGATGTTTTTATCAGCTGTTTGGACTCGCATTCTGACGGCACCCATTCACTGCAGAGGATCCACTGGTGAGCAAGTGATGTAATGCTAAATTTCTCCAAATCTGTTCCAAAATGAAGAATCAAAAACTTAGCTACATCTTTGATGCCCTGAGAGTGAGTTCATGTTCAGCAAATGTTAATTTTGGGGTGAACTATTTCTTTGAGTACGCTTGCAGGTTACCTTTAAGTCTGTGTAATACCACAACTTCAGGGTTGCCATCAACAGCTGGGAATGTACTATATGTGTCTTTACATTGCTGAGTAAATGGGGGAGGACGTGCCCATAAACGTTTTATCCGGACCCTGTAAATTCAAGTGACGGTCCTTAATATCTTCAGCTACCAGAATAACAGAGATTAAACGAATCTAGTGGATACTGTGTCAGACTAAATGCACTGAACCTTCAACTGCCGCAAACAGGGCAAAACCCTTATGGGGAATTTTATCATACACATATCTGCCAAGCACCAGCTCAATCCATCATCCCAAAATTCACTGCACAGAATGGCATAACAAGTGATCATTCACAATTAAAACCCTGTTTGAAATACAGCAATACAGATTAGGAATTAATGTGTCTTTTTTAATTATCTGACTTGAATTATAACAGATTATGATGTCTGTTCAGATATATCTGGGAGAAAAAATATTTTGATGTCAATGTCAGAGTGTAAAACATCTGTGCTTTATGTTAACAGTGGATTGCATGTGTAATTATGCACCGTTACAGGTGTTCAGGAATGTGCAAAAACCTACAATCAGGGCTAGAAACAGATTTTAGCCTAGGGAAAAAGCGTTTATAATAATTCCAACTTTTGACTCGGAATGTCTGGGTTTTTTTAAATGTGGAAACATCTGGAAAAAGGAAGATTTGTATTGCACAAAAGTTTATTATTGAACAGCGTTAACAATGCAACATCACTCTTAAAGTGAAGACAGAAAAAACACTTAAATGTACAACATTTTATACAATCGAGAAATCCATCCTATTCTTCCTCTTCATCACTGAATATCATCGTCATCAAACAGATCTTCAAAATCTGTGGAGAAAAGAGAAGTGTAAAAATTCATAGCACAAAAACAAAAAAAAAATTTTTTACCTATACATACAGTACTTTTAATTCAGCAAAATAAACCAGAATATGTAGAAGAGCTTTTTTTTAAATAATAATTTGCACAAAAACCTAATCTATGACATTCTGTTCTCGGTAAAGTGAGGGTATGAGCTCTTATCGGGGTCTCTAGGTTATTTTCCGTAAACCTTTCAAAAGGGCCCCCTGATAAAACCGCCCCTGAGTGACACGTGTTCAGCTACTTCAAGCACTGCAGATGGATAAAGAGCCTCTAAAGAGGAAAGACCTGCTGCGCTGGAGCCAATGAAGCCCAATAAAAGCGCTTTACATGGGCTCAGCTTCATACTTTCACTCTTTAACTGCCTGTTTTTAGGTCATCCTGTGCCAAGCTCAAACTACCTTTACTATCACTATATAGAGAAGGTGGAAAAGTATAAAGAAAATTGTAGAGTAAGCATGCTAAAGCACTTTGCAATATTCCGTTGCCAAGAAAACAAGTGAAACTAGCAACTTAATGGGAAGAATTTTTTTTAAATTAATTTTGTACAAGTTTATCAGTAATCCTAAAAAAAAATAACACTGACCCAAACACACGTTAAAATAACAACTTACTGACACATAGTAAGAAATGGTTATAAAAAAACTGAAACAGAAGTGAAACAAGTAGTAGGAAATATATATATATATATACTGACAGTCAAAAGTTTGGAATAAATTTTAATGTTTTTCAAAGAAGTTTCTTATGCTAACCAAGGCTGCATTTATTTGATCAAAAATACTGTAAAAACAGTAACATTGTGAAATATTTTTACAATGTAAAATAACTGTTTTCTACTTGAACATATTTTAAAATGTAATTTATTCCTGTGATGGCAAAGCTAAATTTTCAGCAGTCATTACTCGTCTTCAGTGTCACATGATCCTTCAGAAATCATTCTAATATGCTGATTTGATGCTCAAGAAACATTTATTATTATCAAGGTTGAAAACAGTTGTGCTGCTCCATATTTTTGTGGAAACCGTGATACATTTCCATTCAAAAGTTTGGAGACTTAAACATAATAAGAAATTGATACTTTTATTTAATAATTCTTAGTTATTCCATAATTTCAACATAGAATTTAAAAACTGACATTTCCAGGCCTGGAAGAGTAAATAAATCTTCAAAATCATTAAAAATCTGTATGTTTTGCTGGATTCTAAAGTATCTCATCTGTACAAATTGAAATCTTTATTAGAAATTTTCATTAAAATTATTTTAATAAAAAAAATATATAGTAATGACAAACCATCGGAAAGGTCAAGGAACATAACTGATCGATGTACTGTTACTGTACTTTATCAAATAACCGAGTTATAATAGTGTTTCTGAGTCTCACCGTTGAAAAAGTCCGAATGTACTGCCTTCTCGTTGGCGGCCAGATCCATCAGCAGTCCAGTGCTGCCGCCTGCCTGTCAACACACAGCACTACAGCGTTACTACAGGACCATTACAATAGCTCAGCGGCCCTGTCCAATTCGTTTATTTAGGCGAACAAAGTTATACTGTTTTAGAAAAAACAATACACCATAAATATTTATATTAACATTTATTGAATAAATACTAAGTGGATAATATGTGCATGCATCTGAGGAAAATGCGTTTAGCACTGTATAGAAGGTTAATCGGTACAGTGGAACGTTACGCTGTGGTTTATACAGATTTACTTGAAATAACACATAATATGTTCGTTTACATATATATGAGATTTTTAAGTGCATTTATCAAATGGCTTCTCTGTATAGAAACGTGTTAAAACACCAACCTCATCCAGGTCCACGTACGGACCGGCTCCCTCGGGAAACATTTCATCAACTGCTGGCTTCATAATTTCAGAGCGAGTAACGTTACTTAAAAATCAGCGATAAACAAATGTTTATGGTGTATTTTCAGTTCACTGTCAAATTCACCAAAACAAACACTTAAGCGCTTCTCCTCTGTTTCCGGTGGTGTTTAGATTCGCTATGTCCGATTCGCGAATGAACTGTTCTTTTGAGTCGGATCTTTTTGAATGAGCGACCTCCTGTTTCCAAACCCGATTTGAAGGACGCGTTCGTGAATCGATCTGTAACTATCCTGTTCTCGGATCAAAGAGCTACTCTGGGTCATTAAACAGAGAGCTGATAGAAGAACCGGACCGAATACTTGACTGACAGGCGAAAAGTTAAGTTAGTTTAATATCCGAATAGCAGAAATATAAATAAATCGTACTCCAAATACGTGTTCATCCAAAAAGTGCATGAATGCAAGCTGTGTTTCTGAAGGGACTTGAATACATTTTAAAATGAGCTGAATCATGGCTGCAACTACACGAAAACAACAACTCTATTAATTAATTAATAATTACCGAGTCGAAAATAAAGAGCAAAATAATAATAATAAAGCAGTATTAAACAGCCATATGGGTTTATTTAAATGTTTAAAGCATGAATATGCCTCGCCAGGACCACGTGACGTCGTAAGCATGTACGAACCGGTTCTTAACTATGAACTGTTCGAAGGAATCGATTCGCTTAGGCTTCGCATCCACTAGTGGTGTTACGTCCAAATGTAACCGGGTGGAAAACGGGTCCCACTGGCTCGGTTGGAGAACTGGTCCTCACGGTTTTTTTGCAGTGATGGTATTAAAATAATTGATGTGCATCAGTATGACACTTTGTTTTATTTCTTACATTTCCTATATTTGCAACTGCAATAGTCGTATAATACATCACAATCATGCACTCTGAAGCTGTTAATCACACTACAATTAAACATTAATTCCTGTATGCTTTTTATACATTTAAGGATATAACACAGCACTCATTATTACAGGGCTATAAATGGTGTTTAGTTATATTTAGTCAATTATCATTAGTTTCTAATGACACAAACTAAACTATGAGTGATGAACTAATAACATCAATTTAGTGTCCATGTTGCTCTGCCACTTCATAACCCAGCGTGTCTCCAAGATGCTGATGGGCAAAGAATGTTCTGGCCATTTCATTGATCTGGTCGTAAGCCCCAATGTTGCGGAAGTATTCCACATAGTTCCAGAAATCTGAGGTGGAATAAGACCAGTAGGGCACAGCCGGGGGCCGTTCATAGGGCACTACGTGTGAGAGAGAAAAATAGAGCTTGTGTATTCCTGCTGAGTTCTTGCATTCCAGGATTGCTGATGTGTAACTGCATAAGTTATCTAGTTGTCTAAATGTGCCTCTTTGTGGCCTCAGGCAAACACAACAATATAGTTAACATAGTGAATATAATTATAAAACCAGCACCAATGGTTCAATTCATTGCTTAAATAAAAGCTTCATTGTGCATTTAGGATTTTTAAATGTGACTATTAATATATACTGGCCAACAAAATGGTAAATAGTCTGTTTACCCCCTTCAGGAATGAATCTGGCACCTGTGGAAGGAGAGAGTAGAGGAAGAGTGAATGAAATCTGAAATCCTCCCTTACAAAGAGCTGATTCATGCATGAGAACTGAGGATCTCCCAAGGGATTCAAGAAATGTGAGTTTCCTTCACAAATATTATTCCTTACTATGTGCACACTTGTCCTGATGAACACCGCTCAAGTCTTTAATGTTAGGTATTTCACTGTTTTCCTTTTAACAAATGTTCCAGTTTATTTATTTGACAAACATCAACATCCTTTAATACAGACATATTTACCATAAAATACAGCAATTTTCATATTCTGAAAATCTTGAAGTATAGATTTTAAAGTAAATATATAAAGTGCCCAAAGTAATATGAGTACTGCTTACCGCTTAGATTATTTGCAAGAAAACATAGCAAGAAAACCCCCAAAACAATACTCCACTTCATCATTCCCTGGAAATAAAAAAAATTACTTTTACAAATTCAAATTTAGGGTAAATATAAGCAAGCCTGAAAAAAAAACAAGTAAACAGTTTGCTATGTTCATGCATGTATATTGCTAATTGTTTTGGAAATGAACAACTTTACCTACTTTGCAGCAGTGATTGTATGAGGTCTGTCCGTTTCTGAGAGCTAAAATGATTTTGTGTGTCACAGGTTCTGCGCAGACTGAACCCCAAGTTCAGAAAATATTTGTCCCCTCCCAAACTAGATCTACATCATCGAAACCCTCCTCAAGACCATATATGAAATGTATTTCAAATCAAGTTAGTTAATGCATCATGCCATTATAAACATAAAAAATAAAATAAAATAAACATTATTATGCATTCCAAAAGCATAATTCTGTTTTTAATTAATTTATATTCCAATAGAAATCTAAACACTATTATCAGTATAAAGTGTTCATAAAGGCATAGAAAATACAATTTTGAGGACATATCAATGCACATCTTAAATTATGCAGAACAGATAGGACTCCAGTATATTCACAAAATAAACACCCGATTAATAAAACCATTACTCAGGAATGACATGACAGAGTACTCCATAAGCAAAAACTTCATAAGCAAACGGTAAAGCTTTAATTTATTTATTTGAAGAGGTGCAAAAATATGTATATAGAGCATTATATGTGCCAGCTGGGTTCAGATGGTTTTATGCCATATGAATAATAATAATAAATCTTATTTTTATAGCACATTACCAAAGCCAGAGGATGCTTTACAAAATTAGTTTAGAGTAACAAAGACAAATACCAAACATTTATAAACAAGTACAACATAATATGAGTAGCTTTATGATAATTCAAACCGTTTTCAATCATAATACTAATAGTGAA